ATCATAATTTTAAGCAATAGAACACACGTAACCCTTCCTATAATCCATTTTGATTTTATCGCCTTCATACAGACACGAGATACATGGCCAGAGGACCTTTTTAATATAAAAGGATCTTATTTAATGACATAAACAAAACTTTGTCCAGTCATGGGTATCAAGTAGACATCTAAAGTGTTTGTCATGCAATCGATGGCCACACGTAAGAACTAAATCAACTTATGTACTTAGCAATAACTTAAAATGCATAACAAATATTATTGAACAGGTTTTTCTGAATCCAACGAATTAACCAACTTATAAAACATTTATAATATCACTCTTTGGTTATTGTGATGTATAAATATTTAGTATTGTTTTATATCTTTATATATATAATTCTACTGTACGTGTGTATGTCACTGAACTCCTCTTAAACGGCTGGACTTATTTGAATGAATTTGTATGTATGCGTTTGTGTGGCGCCCTGGATGGTTTAGATTTACCAATCAGCCCGGCAGATGACGCTGCAGTTTGTACTTTCATACTTTGTTAAATATCCTAATCGCTTGAAATATTATGCAGGACAACGTCTGTCGGGTCCGCTAGTATATAAATATATTTTTACTATACATTTTCTCTCATATCATATCACCTTAGGTCGAACGTGGTCGGCTCACCTCTAGGGCCCAGCTCAAGGACGTGTGGAGGGCTGAAGTGTTTCTGTGGGTTCGGGCCTCGTTACCCATTTGTCCCAAGTCTGCCATCCGTTGCGCGAGCGCATTCTCGTCTCGTTCAAATAAACCAAAGTACCTATATCTCTTATAGGGAGATCCCGAATAAGAGTATTGCACTCAAGTATATATTGATAACTGCATTTTTCATTTCTAGTTTATGTTAGGGGTTAATAAATAATATTACAATTTGTTTAAAGTTGAAAGTCAATGATGTTTCTCTTTTCTTAAATGTTGTAAGACATGATTTATTATATATAAAACGGACGCATTAAGTAAAGCTAATGCTAAAATTTAAACATTCGCTCTTAAAACTCCAAATAATATAATACGGTCTCAACAAACATCAACAAAAGTTTGCGTAATTTGTCTTTTCATGTGTAAACCTCAATAAATTCATTTAAGCGTTACCCTCAAATATTTTTCAAACCATATCGTTAGACTAAGTCCTAAATTGAACGCGAATGGCTACGGCACGTGTCTTCCCTTTTCTTCCCGCCCATCACTGTAACAACCTTCCGCGATTTACAAATCGAGCTTAAACCCAGCCCATTAGGAATCCCTGACATTCCACGATACGTTTTTGGGGTTCCCAATAAAATTCCTTATGTGAAATCGTAAAGAATTTATAAGTGTTTTGTTATAAAAATTTAAACAACCGAGTCTTTTAAGAAAAAAGCTAACCGATTTTAAAAGGCCAGCAACATACTTGCGATACATATAGCAGTCTTCCAGCTAAACACCAGATAATAGCCTGTTCTAAAGTATTTTTGAAGGTACTAATATATTTAAATAGTTTAATCATTTCGAGGCTAATTCATATACTCTGTTGTTTGCATTGAAATTATGTAAAGTAAACTTAGCTAGTCATTATATACTTACTTATATTAAAAAAATTCTATTAACTTTATAAGAAGGTCGAATTACGAATCAAAACTATTGGTTGTTAGATATTATGTAATAAATAAAATGCTTTTATTTAATATATTGATCTTTTTATCAGTAAATATACAGGTCCATTATATATAAAGTGCGAATGTACTTGGCTAGTGTTAAGTCCTGTCAAGTTCCCTGATAGATAAATGAGTTTGTTATTGATTGCCAGTTAGCTAACTAGGGTGCTGCCCTCTGACGTACATGTTTAATCGCTGCCGCTGATATCCAAGCAATTCCTGATTTATACGAATTCGATTTTTAAAACTATTGCACAAAAGAGGATTTATATGTCAGTTAACTTTATTTCTATTGTTTTAATAAAGCTTCTACAGTTTTTGAAAATAGAACTGTATGGTGTTACACGGTGTGTTCGGTGTGTTTTTTTATAATCGGTTACCATAGCTGAGCTAACCACATACATTATTAATGAACAATTACACAAAAATTTACTGTAAACAAAACATAAATTTCTAGAATTCTAGAAGAATATGGTTGGGACAATTGTCAATAGACAAGTTTCCAGTTAGTAGAGAAAGGCCCAAATACAAAAAATAATTACGATATTCCAAACATAATATCTATATATGATAATAATTTTTAATGTTAAAGATAAAGGTAAATGTAACTGTGAAAATAGTTCTAACAATCGCGCGCACTTTGACTTCTAAGACCATCCTATAATCTATTTGCGAAAAGGTTTTACAAGATTCACGATTCAATTTAAATTTTTCGGATCGCTTACTAGCAGTTGAGAATTTGAAATATGTGAAGATAGATCTCGATGCGATGGCTCTGTTCGTGTCGAGTCATCGGACTTATTACCAAACCAAATAGATTACATCAGTGATTATCTATTTGTCAAAATAGACAAAAGATACACGATTTTAATAGAGGTCGAGTCGTGACGTCATTGTTTTGTTATTTTATAGGATAAGTAAATAAAAAATATTGACTTTCGGATTGTATTAGGTCCATACATATGAAAATGGCGTTTTTCGTACTGGCCACTTTAATCACGATGTTCTCCTCTTTGGTAAGGAATTCCAAATTCAAATTATGTATTTGTGCTTCGATGACCGTCATTCATTTGTTTTTTTCTTCTGTTTTTTTCTGTTTGCGTTTTACAAATGGAAAACTTAAAGTATCGCATTATTTACGAGTACGAGTTCCGCCGTGGCACTAGTGCTGCGGAAACGACTCGAAGGGTGAATGGTGTATGTTCGTTCGTTTTTGGTTCCAACGTTTTCGTTCTGGCTGGTCAATCGCTCCACGCCACTGCTACTTCACGACAACGCTAGACCACACACTGCACAACAGACGGCTACCAAATTAGAAGAGCTTCAATTGGAATGTCTAAGACAGTCCTCCGTACTCCCCGGAGCCTTGCTCCAACAGATTACCATTTTTTTCGAAATTTGGACAACTTCTTGCAAGGGAAAAAATTTAACTCTGATGGGGCAGTCCAAATCGCCTTCACAGATTTTATTGATTCCCGTCCGACTGGTTTTTTTAGTAAAGGGATCAATGAACTACCTATGAGATGGCAAAAGTGCATAGAAAACAATGGTTCATACTTTGATTAATTAAATATATTATATTTAAAAATATTCGACTTTTTGTTGCTCCCATACAAAACGCCAATTTCATCTGTAAGGACCTAATATTTGGAAAAATACACGAGTGAAATATAAATGCGTAGTTGTGTCCTAACAAAGTTTATAGTTGTGACGTTAAAACAAAACACGCGAAATAATTATAGAAATTATTTTAATTTGTACATTACACAGGGGAGCACTTAACTACATCAATTTTTTTTTAATTGTTTGTATCTTGGCTATTTTTGCGTTGTGGGAGAAAGTTCTCCCTACTTATAGTAGGATCATCCTAGGAAGAACTTCTGTGCATCTGGCCTGCTTATTTGCCAAAAAGAATTCTATACTATTATTAACTCTAATTAATGAATTATTTAATAATAATTGTCTATTATTAAGCGAATTTTGCCCTTAATAACGCTTCAATTTATGAAAGGGTTTTTGTGTAATAGGAATTAATTTTTAAAATCGCTCCAAGAATTTAACAACCACACAAAATAAAATCGTCTGTCACAGTATAGTCATAATAAGCTTTCCACGTTTTTTAAATGATTTAGCACATCTAATTCGAGATGTCTCACAAATCGTTATATCTTCCATATGTTAGAAATATTCACGTTCATGTTGACGGTTTTATGGGCTCCTCTGTGAAGAACCGAAATAATTGTTCTTTTATGGTTCTACATGATGCCAGCGTTTAGACAACGATGACAGTTTCATGTTTAACGTAATTTACTGTAGGAATGTTTTATACGAGTTATCAAATGTGAGAATAGAATTTGTGATATAAATCATTAGAAGTTTTTATGTTTGCTCGGATCATGTTACAAAACTGAGCTTAAAGAGTGCTACGGTTCACGAATTTACGATAGTAGTATGTCAATGATAATACCAGTGTTTTTTTTTAATTGTAACGCAATGATTTTGTTAAGAATTTTAATTATTACACTACACTTATTATGTGCGAACGAAGGCCTATACCCAGAATGGGCTTCCAAGCCAACATGTTTACATTATATATCATACTAGGTACATTAGTAATAGTGTTTTTTGTATGTTATGTTGTAAATATGATTATTTACATAAGGATGGAAATGGAGAGGCTTAATAATAATAAAAATGTTAAATTTTACGTTTTGTTTAAATATTTAAAAAATGATCACTATTATTCTGCTACAAAATTGGGTTAATTAACATTAATTATAAAAAATATTAATTAAAAAAGTTTACGTAAGTTAATTTAAGTTTATAGAGTAAACTTTATACGAGTACTTTATTTCGGCAAACTATATTCTCATACAAAATCCTTTTAACTATTAGATCGAATTACAGTTTTGTTTGTTTGCTCGATGTGGTAAACAATCCATTTTAAAAGTTTATTAAAAGGTTAAAGTTATTTACCAAAAAAAAAAGAAGTGAAAAAAGACGCCATAAACTGATAATTATACCAATTAATTTTAAATCCTCTATTTTTCCTTCTTGATTTTGCTAAAGCAGGTGTATCAATGTGGTAGTAACGGATTATATTTGAAGCACTCGAACCGAAATTAAGACATCCCTAATAATATTTAGGTCACAACTATTGACACACAAACAAAAAAAATATTGTAAGACGGGAATCTTTAAAAGTGTTTTAATTTAGTAGGGTATACTTTTGGGTTTATTTAAAAAAACTAATATTTTGAGGTATATTTATTGTGTGTAAATTTAGAAATACATCTTTAATTTAATTTTAAATTATTTAAAAATACTCTTAACTTTAATCTAAAGCTAGGTTTTCTGCGGGCATCGCGTGGAAGAATTCTTGAACTCCCTCCACAATTCTGGTCACGATGGCCTTGACGACTGGGGGACCCACCTCGTCAATGATTTCGTTTCCATTGCTTTCAATGACATCTTGAGCAGCTTTAGCTAAAAAATATAAATATATTTAAAACACTAAAAAAATATGTAACTGTATTATTTGAATAAATAAAATGTGATGGTCGCAAAAACGTTATGTTTTAATTTGTTTATTTGCACTTATCTATTGACTAACTGTGCGCTGTGGTTTCACACGCCTTAATTTCGTGATGCTATGTATAGTTTTTCTCGATAAATTTATTTTCAAAAACTAAATTTACAAATCGAACCTGCTCTGAAACTTTCGAGTTTTTGTATAAGCGCGATCCCCTGATTGCTCATCAACATCCGTAATGTTGTAATAACTACAGCGAAATTGCTTACAAAAACGCGGTACCGGCGCTTGAGAGTAGCGTGTTCAAACAAACGCTTTTCAGTCCATGACAACTTACCCAAGTCCTTATTTCCGTTGAAAAGATTTTCGAAATGGACACTCGATTTTTCTTGCAGTTTGTATGCATGGTCCCAGGTTTTTATATCCCAGTATGCCTTTCCGTCTCTGGTGATTTCATCATATTTACCTTCTACTTTGAAGATCGCTTTGTCTAAAAAATATAATATTATAATAAAAGCACTGTAGAGTCTCCTATAAATGCCTTAGCTTTGGATGTACCATCTTTTTATAGTGTTTATGACTAGCATATTTTAACAATTAGGTAAGCAGAATTTACTACAATTATTTAACTGAACTGTATGCCTACGATGGTAGTATTAAATATTTAAACTGAGGAATTTATCGCAATAAAAGGAGAGGCTAAGAAAATTAAGATTACATTACGTAGCCTTAAAATTACGTTAACCTAATAAATAAAAATCAGGTTTCTTTATCTAATCTATTTTTAATAACACTGCTATATTAAAAACAACTTACTAAGTTTGACTTGGAACTTGTCGTTTCCTTCAAGAGGAAGAAATAATAGGCGCCCCTTCATGTCATAGTTTCCTTCAGCATCTACATTACATAGCAGAGTCACTGAGATCATTTTCTTTGCAGCATCTCGTCTGAAAACAATTTATTTACTACAATGACTACGATATGATAGGTCTTTTTTTAATTGACTGAATTTTTTACTACTTTGTATTACGTCTAAGGGCAAAATTCAAAATAGCGGTAATTAGAGAAAGTTGTTATTCTGCGATTGCAATTGTTTATAGATTATTAATTTAACTTTCTGTTGACGGAGAAACAGGCCTAATATTCGTCGCGTATGTTTTTGTGTTGGTCAAAGCATAGCTCCTATGTCCGTGAACAGAACTGAATGATTAAGGTGTCAAACGATTCCTTACCAACTGGTGCCGCATTGAGAAACGCTTAATGTCTAATTTGTGTAAGTTACAGTTAGTACAAACACAATTAACAATATAATTTACAGAAATCGTTCTCACGTTTTTTCTAGGATTAATAAGCATTATTATTCATTTAGATTGCCTGATTAAGATTAAATGAATTTAATTAGCCACTTAACCACTTTAAAATGTCAACACGTTTAAGTATTTATAGGCAACAAACATATTTTGCGCTATGCCTTTTTATTACCAAAAAATCCAATGAAAAATCGTGATTTTTTTTACCGATATTCCCGATTTCCGGCATCAAGGAATAGGTCCCGTCCCGTGTATGATAACGCTGAAGCAACACATTTATTAACCTGGCACCAGTGTATAATATTTGTGTTAATTGTTATGTGTAAGTTTTTTTATAGAACATGGGGAAAATTGGTAGGAGGCTCGACTGATGTTAAATGATGGACATGCCCATAAACACTCAATGCCAGAGCCTACTAATAACTGTTTAGCTCGATGTTGTTAATTATACTACTACTAATTAAACAGTAAAATGTGTGTTTTAGAGAGCAGTGTTGGCCTATTGGCTTCAGCGTGTGACTCTCATCCCTATTTCGTAGGTTCGATCCCCGGCTGTGCACCAATGGACTTTGTTTCTATGTGCGCATTAAACATGCGCTCGGACGGTGAAGGAAAACATCGTGAGGAAACCGGCTTGCCTTAGACGCAAAAAGTCGACGGCGTGTGTCTGGCATAGGATGATCACCTACTTGCCTATAAGTTTGACAAATGATCATGTAACAGATACAGAAAATGAGGGCCTAGACCTGAAAATGTTGTTGTACCATTGATTTTTTTCTTCAGCAGCTTTAAGGTTTTTGTAGTCTAGGATTTGATATTATTCAAAATTGTGTACTTACTCTACTTTCTTTGCAGTGCAGCCTTTAAGTCCCGTTACCTTAATATTACTTAGCAATAGTTTAAGGTTAGGGGTGCTCGCATCGACTTTTTCAATTTCCATTGGATCTAAAGACTTGATGTTGAAGATTGGCAGCCCTGGGGCGAATTTTGGTATCATAGCTTGTGTTACTGATTTCAAGCATTTCGAGTCCGTTGATAGGCATTTTGTCAATTCGAATGGAACTAAAAACAGTAAATAACAGAAAGAGTAATAATTAATATACTCATATAAACATAATATTATCGTGTCTGAAATATATATTTAGGAACGTCCTTCTTAAATAAATCTCCCTCATATTAATAATAATATTTAGAAAACACAAATAAATATTTAAAATGATATTAAAAAATAGATAATAATAAAAATAAGTATTTATTTACCTGGAATGGCACAAACTATAGACACGAATATAATATTGAGAATCACAAGCGAATGCATTTTTCCTTATAAACAAGTTTTATGTACTGAGATCAATACAAGTCTGCCCTGTTTTAACGAAAATCACATTTAAATAGGACCTTAACAGATACGTTATAAAGGCATCGACACACGAGGTGTGACGCACAATGGTTTCATTAATAAATGATTTTGTTAATAGATAGCGCTTTGGTTTTTTTAATGGAATCTGTGTTTTGATAATACGACGCTTGTCAAATATAGAGAGCAGTGTTGGCCTAGTGGCTTCAGCGTGCGACTCTCATACCTGAGGTCGTAGGTTCGATCCCCGACCGTGCACCAATGGACTTTCTTTATATGTGCGTATTTAACATTTGCTCGAACGGTGAAGGAAAACATCGTGAGGAAACCGACATGTCTTAGACCCAAAAAGTCGACGGCGTGTGTCAGGCACTGGAGGCTGATCACCTACTTGCCTATTAGATTTAAAAATGATCATGAAACAGATTCAGAACAGCCGCGCCACTGGTTTTTTTTTAATGTATTATTGTCAAATATAGACGGAATATTCTCTAGTTTAACACACAAACTTAATTCCTACACAATTTTCTTCGGCGCAATCTTTCCACTGTGGCGTTCTCTGGGTCATGGCTTTTGGTTCTATAGCCTCCGACGTATTCTGCACTTTATTCTCCTTGTTAATAGTTGATTGATTTGATATTAATTGTGATTGATCAGCATTAATTTCTTAGTGATTATATTATTATTATCATGGATTTGATTCGTTATTAATATATTGCTATTCTTAGATAGGAAGTAACAGACAATTAAATTCACAAACGTATGAATTGGCTATTAACTCCGGCTTCTTGCTAATCTTTTTTTTAATACCTCATCACTCCCATGCCATCAAAATAAGAGATAAAAGTTTTTTTAATTACCTTTGTGTACGATTAATTAACGTTAATTGTAACAGTATAATTAGTATTGTGCCTCAAAAATATTTAAGCTGTTTTAAAACTTAGTTAAACAAGGAAACCATAAATTGCAGATCGCTCGTTAAGTTTCTAGTAATTATTATTACCAATGTGCCAAACAAAAGCATACCGACTTCCTGTTCTGTTTTTAAACGGTACGTCATATGACGTTTCGTAAGGAACATAAGGTTATTGAGCTGATCAATTATTTAATGATGAAAGTCGAGGCGTAGTAAGGAAGTAATATTTCTGTATCCTATATACCAGGAAAAATATTTTTTAATTATCCCGTGTGAAGACGTCATTACATTGTTATAACAACTTTTTGTTCAGCCAACTTGGTATTTTAATATATCTATCTTCCTTATTAATAAAAAGTTTTGTTTAATGTATTCAATAAAAAATTAATGAGTTATAAAATACAAATAAAAATATTTGAGTAATTATCTCCCATGCTTTGCCTAATCATTTCATAAGCCAATTTAATTATAAAAACTTTTTTGTTAGTACTATTAAATAAATATTTGTAACGATAAAATGAAGTGTAGTCTAATAGTAATATTCTATATATTACTACATTCATACTGATTTATCGAAATACATTAGTATTTCGATGGGCTAACGGGCTAACTAACAATTATTTGCATTAAAAGAAAACTACTGTAAAACCAAGTATTTCAAGTTAGCTTTTTTAGAGATAATAATAAATAAATAAAAGAACTGATTGTAAAATTGTGAACTATCGAACAAAATATTATATTAAGAAGAACTGAGTTACTAAAACAAAAGAACAAAAAATAACAAGAATGAACTCAGCAGATTCTATAACTTGTACTGTTTGTTTTATAACATAAAAGAACAGTGGCGCTACAACCGCCAGGTCTGGGCCTTAGACTTTCTTAATAGGTGATTAGCCATTGATGCCGGCTTTCCTTTCCCGTGCGAGCGAGTGTTGCGCCTACAAATAAAATTATAGTGTACAGCCCTGATGCGATCGGACGACCTGGGTCTGGGATGAGAGGTTTTCACTAAAGCCACTGGCCAACATTGCTCGTTGTAGTTTAGGTACTACTAGCGAACTGTGGAATCGGCTCCCGGGGGGGGGTCTTCCCTCAGAGATATGACCTCCAAATGTTTAAAAAGCGAGTCTACTCCTCCCTCAAAGGCCGGCAACGCACCCACTAAAAGTGGGTGTCTATGGGCTGCGTAGACTGCCCTTTTTGGTCGTCCTGCAAGCTCGTTTGCCTATCTATAAAAAAAAAAAAAAAAAGGTATTGTTACATTTTTGATTTGTTTATAGACAGGCTATCACTTTCCGTTCGACCCAAAACAAAATTTTACTGCGTAAGCTGTTTAATAAATTTTTCCATGGGGCGGAATCGTTCTTCCCGATATTACTATTCTGTGAGTGTAGTGTGTCAATAACTCACACTTAGTTGTAGCTGTATCATTAGTAAATTTTGGAAACTACAACGACTGCAATAGAAAGCACGCGATTGGCTTGCCAGGTGTGGGCCTAATTTCAAATATTATTTATTAGGCATATTTTATGTAAGTTATGATTTGTGTAGCATGTAAGTAATGAACTCTTATATATTCATCATAGTAAATAGAAATAAGAAATGTAAAATATGTTATCATGACCGTTATACATACATTATTTACTTATGGCAAGAGATGCCAGGTCTTGTCTTAGCCATGTACTTGTAAGTTAAACGTAGAAAACGTTTGGGCTAATATACTGCACGTATACGTACTCGATATGGTAACATTTTAATTTAAAATTCCAATTATATAAAGAGTCAAAGAGTCTTTTCTAAGGAGGTGGCCTATAATTCGATGTGTATATTTTTTAAAGATTCAGTCCCTCTTCTATACATAGACCATCTAGGAAGAAAGAGATGGTCAAGTATCGGTTGCGATATTTTGGATATTAACTTAAAGTTTTTCAATATATTAACTGCCCCCTTAGGGGAACTGCATTAGCGTTATGTAGAATAGACAACATAAATACATTATGGCTTGACATTTGTTTACTATGTAATTTGAGGTAACATATCGAACAGATAATTGGTATTCTATGAAACGAATCTTCAGCGTCGTACAATATACACTGTAAAATAAAAATAAAATATGTTTATTATGGAACATAAGTTACAGGGCTAATACTTATTGACAAGCCAATTCGACTACTAGCGTTCGAACCGTAGCGAGCGCCAATGCCGTGAAGAAATTAGACAAAATGGCGCTCGCGTGATCTGGTGATTGTTGTGGAAACATATTTGTGTTTTAGAAAATACTAGACTTATACTGTCGTAACATGAATTTTCATTTAATTAAGTGTATTTTCTTTTGTAGATCACGTAAATCAAAAATATTGATTTTACATTGCGTTTTCATTTTAACTATTAATTACAACATAACGTTAAATTAATTAAATCACTGACTAGCGTCACGGTGCGGTTTCATCATTGTCATCATAGTTCAATTGATGCTGCCGCGCAGGTACAATTCTCTGTACAATTTGCTGTAGTCTTTTGTACAAACTAAAATCTATCAGCTATTCCCATCTAAAGCGCCACAACTACGGGAATATAAATATTTATTTCTGGCATAACCTGTCACTTTTCATGATAATGCTTAGGAAATCTCTATAGGGTAGAGCGGGGCTAGTTGAGCATAGGGGCAAGTTGGGCAATCGAAACATCTCGGAAACTATTCACCTTACGCGGGAGTATCAAATAGCGAAAAGAAGGAGCCGTAGGAGAGGTAATCATCGCACGATAGCTAGTGGCAGCTCGACTAGTGAGTGAAGTGTCACGGCGTTTGTTTATTTTGTGACCAAAAAGTAAAAACATTGTTTATCGCAAGTTTTCGTCTGTCTTTGTCAAATGTTCTCTGTGTTCAATCAGGAGAGTGTTAATCTTTCAGAAGATTATTGTATTTTTGATTTGTAAATAGGTTTTGGGTCTAATTCTAGGCATTTATTTAAAATCCTACTTTTCTTTTAAAATTCCGGGTTGGGGTAAGTTGAGCAACTATAGCTCAACTAACTCTACGACTTAAACAACTGATGAGTAATGAATCTTTTATTTTTTGTTTGGATGCGGACTTACAAGAGGAAGACTACAAGATGTTCTTACACTACTGAATACTTAAATAATGCTGCAAAGGCCGTCCACGATGAGGGAAAAAGTGTGAATACCGCCGCTAAAGAATTCGGTATTGGTTGACTTTTAAATAAATTAAATGAAGGTGATGATTCATTTATGGGCTATACAACACCGAGGGAAGTATATCCTCTCTCACAAGAGAACTGTTGAAAAAGAGTGCTAAGAGTGTGCTGAAAGTCCACCAAGCTGAATTGCAAAAAAGATTTCCGGAAAAGAATCGTTGATGATGTTTTAAAAACAAAAAAATCGTAGCTATCCATACAGAAACCAGAACCCACCAGCCTTGGTAATCTTTTTTAGAAATTATCGGAAGTAATGGATAGATATGGATGCTCATGTTTTGTTGATTCTAGTTTCGGTTAATTATACAAAGAAAATTTATTTAAATTTTGTTGTTCTGTCAATAAAAGACTATAAATAAAAAGCTGACTGTCTAACACATATTTTATTTCATCTCAAGTTAACATAGAACCCATGGTTTGGCCTAAACATTCTTAGTGCTCAACTTGCCCCATACCCTTGCTCAACTTACCCCACCTATGGGGTACATTGAGCATACTTGACTTTCTGCATTTAAACATCTGTAGCTATTATATTGGACTTGTTACAAAAAAATACTATGGACACTTTTGTAAGGGATAAATTACTAATCCATCAGGACACATAACAACTCATTGAGACTTATCATTGAGGAGCTATATCCAAGCAAGTGAAAAATTGCTCAACTAGCCCCGCCCTACCTACCTAATAAGTAATATTATTCACATTATTACTTATTTTTTGTTCACATTTTTAATATATTTTTAATGAAGGACTTACTAAGTATGTTCAAATGTAGTGTTTGTAAAAACTGAGGAACGTAAAATTTGTACATTAGTAAATTGTTTATTTTTAATTAATAGAATATTCAATAAAATATTAATATTATTCTGACAACAAAACTATCATCAACAAACAAAAATAATTATTAAATTTAAATTTATCGCGTTTTCTCTTGTCAATATGTCAAATTAGAAATGATGCCTGTGTTGCGAATGAACTTCGACTGTTATCGTAAAATTTATGACTGCGCGTTCGACAACTCCACGGTTGGCTACCAATTTGATATCAACAACGTTACAGCAATAGCGTTTTACAAAATTGAATATATCCGTACGCATGAAGCGTAAGTCACTTGTATAGCTTGGCTTATAAGTCTCTGGAAAGATCAGAAACTCTGAAACGCGGAAGTGAATTTTTGAATTGATAATTCTTTAAAAAGTTTGTCATATAAATTAGATTTTCTAATAAGTTAACTTAATTTCGCTATTGTTAGTCAGAAATCAGACACATCAAATAATTTAAAACATTATTTTCCATTTTAAAAAACAAAAATAAAGCTTAAAATTAGGGATGCATCCGATACCGATGCCGATACCGATATATCGGCATCGGCGATATTTTCATTGCCGATTCACCGATACTTTTCAAATTTCACGTTTTAAAAAAATAATGTAAGCGCGCATTTTGTATGATCTAGTTTGTTGCAAACGAGCCACGGCACGGACTATTATTGCCCGAGAAATCCCCGCGTTTTATTCAGTTTGTTGTCTCTATCATTCGCTTGGGGACAAAGCATTATTATTTATGTATATATGTATTTCATTTCGCTAAACACTATTTATTTATTAAAACTTTGTTGCATTACAATATAAAAATTTAACATAATTAAATGAAAAGGAGGGCAAAAATACATATTACATATAAACTAAAAAAAGTTGGTATCGGTATCGACGATATTCCTATAAGTGTATCGGCATCGGTATCGTAAAATTGTAAAAGCGTATCGATGCATTCCTACTTAAAATAATTATGTAGATGTATTTAGAATAGTATTTCATCTTATGTCGTCTTAAAGGTCAGGAGGTATTTTATTTGCGTAAAACGAACAAAATTGAACAATTTTTCTATTTCTTGTTTGTTCTTCTGATCTGAACTTTTTGTAAATTCAAATATCAACTACATTATACCTAGTCCAGCCATAAATTCTGTCACAAATGAAAATGCATTTTTTTTAAATAAATTAATGTAATTTTATTAAAATTTGTTCCTACATATTATATATTTATTAAAGTCTCAACAAAAACTAAAATAAAAATCTATTCGAAATTTGGATTTTACACAGGCCTTTTAATCTGTTTAGCCACGAATCTATGGATTTACGTACTGTTTCCAAGGGAAATGTCGCCACTGCTTGCACCAAAGATTTTTTAAGAGAATCAATGTCGCAGTGTCGTGCGATGGGCCATGTCTTCTAAAACTGACCATAATTTCAAGTCTAAAGGGTTAAGGTCTGGGCTAGATGAGGGCCCGTCTTCAGCTCTTATAAAGTCTGGAACGTTGGTTTCAAGCTAGGGTCGGGTAGTTCGTGCCTTGTGACCAGGTGCAGAATCCTGCTGGAAAGGCTACGGTATATTTAAAAAAAAGTATTTCCGAGAGGTTTCACAACATAATCCAAGACTATTTTGATATACTTTGGATTTGCTCCTTGATAAGACACGCCCCACCAAATCATCACTGACGCAGAATGTTGACCAGCATTAACAGCCTTTGTAGTTCTAACAACCGGCCGCCTCGATCTTTTCTTCGACAGATGAAGTGTTGTTGTATCTTTTGATAGTACGATATACGAACAAACGGCTGATACCAAGCTTTTGAAATCTCTGGAATATAACCGACGGCTCCATACCCACTTTGTGCAAGGCGATCACTGCAATTCTATTTTCTTTAACACCCTATTCCATATTTTAATTTGATTATGAACACGAAGAAATATGTGAAATGGCGCAAAGTCGTAAGAAGTTTTTAAAATACGTGTTCCAAATTCAAAATATTTAAAAAGTTGTAAACAAGAAAAGTTTGTATGTAACAGTATTTATGTCCAGACTAGTTATAATTATTAGTTTCGAAATTTGTAAAGTGATACTAGCGCGTTATGAAAAATTGATGAGAGTGAAATTTTACGATGCGCGCGCACCGTGACACAAAATTAACAGAATGAAGTTGCCCACGGAAGATGCTACGGCATTGGACATAATTTAAAAACAACATTTGAATAATAATAGAATTTATGTTACACTTAATGTAAGAGAATAATAATTAATATTTATTTATTTAATTTTTCAAATATAAACTGAACTTAATTGACTATAGTGACTTCTTTTCCAGTCTTTGATTATGCATGCAATCAAAAACTATTTTTAATAATGGCAAATAAGTATAACTTCTTACGCGCGTACATAAGTACACTCACCCTTTTTTTTTATTAAATTAAATCTTTGTTTAGGTAATATTTTAGATTGTTAACTCCATTGGGGCCGACGTACAAGTCTCTTGAATAACGGAGTCTTCTGCAGCGTTCTCAGTGATAAGGATACGCGACACCACTAACAGAATGCAGAAAAGCTCGTATATGTTGGCTATTTTCATAACTATATCTAATGCGGGAAGCTGACATCAAATCAATATTGGGGGTGCCGAGGCAGCCTGCGTATATATTTTTTGTGCAAACGGATAGTTGCCTATAATTGAATGTATATTGTTTTTCTTAATTCAATAGTACTTCATTGATATGACTCATGAATTGCTATCTATACCCTGAGATGGCAATATGAGTTCAAAAAACTTCTAATAATTAGTTAGTACAATACATCAGGATTGTGATAGAGCTGCACAAAATGACCGACGTTTTAAATTATCCGTTGAGTGAACTGGCAAATATTGGATTTACGTCAGTACCTAATATTAAATAATTTAAAAATATGTAAGGTAATGTTTTATTGAGGTAATTATTAATATTATATATGTAGTTTTTTTGTATTTAAGCTTTGGTTTTAATTGTTATTAAATATTATTAATTCCTTGAATATTTGTTGTTGCATTAGAGTGACCTGTAAAAAATACGTGTTGTTTTTGATACGTGAAAACAACTACCATATTATTTATCATCGCAAAGGTCATTAAATATTTTTATTTTATAATTATATAATTTTGCAATGCCCAGGGCAGCAAGATAAATAATTATTTCTTAAAAGTTTTTTGCATTATTTTAGTGGCTTTCATATACTTTATTACTTCTTTAACACTGGACAATGCTTATGACTAGAGGATTGTTTAAACTTTAAAGATTTTAATTCAGTTATAATGCGTCGGGTAGTTTTAACACCACGTAAACATTCGTATTGGTCTCAAACTTGTCAGCTTTTTCATTCTAAACATCAACCAAGTTTTTTATAGTGTTTTTAAATATAATCTTAGTATTGGATTGTAATTGATTACTTTTTTAAACAGAAAAACAGAATTATATAAAATAGAATTTATTAAATATTTAAATTAATTTTCTTTGTATATAAGTGATAATTTATATTGTTATTCAATTATCAATTCACTAATTGGAACATTGTGGAAGAATGTGTTGATGTTTTTGGTTATTTCTTTTATAATATCAGAAATAACTGGGCTCCCGACTTCTTCGACAATTTCATTACCGCTCTCTTTTATAACTTCCTTTGCAGCTTGTCCTGAAAAAATATAATAATTTCTGTCAAAATTATAAATAAGCCTAATAATCTAGTTTTACAGATTTCAGAACCTGTTCCATTGTTCGATTTCATTTATAGGCAAGCTGTCAAGACTCTATTATTGATAATACTATTGTTTGCCATTTTTTCATACTATTATTTACATACAATGAAGACTGCGCCTTTAATGCGCCAAATGTATACATCTTTTAATTGTTGTAACTAAAAAATTTAAACTGTCTCCATGTTTTTGTATGCAATTTCTAAGTTCTCTTAACATCCGTAACACTTGAATATGTAGTGGTTCAAAAGCCACAAGTACTCAATTGCGATCGCCATCGTTATTGGGTTTATAGCAGTGTTTCCCAACGTGTGCCCCACATCCCACAGGGGGGCAATTTGATTGATAAAACAAATTAAAATTTTGGAATTTTAATTTCAGTTTAAGAAAATTTACTTAGTGTGTTTCATACTCATCATTTAAGTTTCTTAAGTAACTTAAGGGGGCCATAAGAATTTTAGGAATGCTAAAGGGGGGGGCATGGCACAAAAAAAGTTTGGGAAGAGAGACTCCTAAGTCCTAGTGTGTTTATTAATGCGTTAACATTTACAATTACTAACCGAGCACATCATTTCCATTAAAAAGATTTCCGAACACAACGTCCGCTTTGTCCTTCAATTCAAAACTGTGTTTGTAATCTTTGATATTCCAGTATTTAGCTCCATCCTTTTCAGATTCTTCGATACTGTATTCCACGCTGAATTCTGTCTTCCCTGAAAAGTCCGATTTCGCTATTAGCACATTATTTAAATAAAGAATTTGACAAAGCAACTCAGTGAATGTACCGAGCTACTGTTTAGCATCCAATTCCTTTACTCTACTTCTACTTAATTGGTGTTACTCAATAGATGCAGGGAAACGAATATGTCAGTCACAGTCTTCTTACCTAACGATATAACTACATATTAGCTACTTATAGAAATAATTGAATGTTGAACATAAAATGCCCCAAACTGTGATCATAATTATCTTTGTATATTTGGGATAATTTATACTCTTATTCAATTATCAATTCACCTTTAGGAACTTGGTGGAAGAATGTGTTGATGTTTTTGTTAATTTACTATATAATATCTGAAATACAGTGGCGGATTAAGAAATTTTCAAGGTTATATAGGCTTTGAAGTTTTTGCCGACCTTGCCTCTCCAATAGTCATGTACTAGAATATTTGTCAATCCATCAATTTTGTTGAAATAGGTAAATATTTTTAGGGTTTGATTTTAGAACAAAATTATTCACAATCCATCCAATTCCCATATTCTCGGATAAGACCGGAAAATATGATTACATTGCAAATATGTATATAAAAATAATAAGCTTGCTTTAACTAGTTATGTTATTTGAATACAACAAATAGAAAAAAAAGCAGCAAAAAGAAAAAAAAATATAGAAAAATAAAGCAGACCGTCTTAGCCAGTCGTTTAGTATTAACCCCACGTAAAATCAAATAGCTCTCGATAAAATATATCATTTTCATTTTAAAATGAGCAGAGCCTCGTGCCTGCCAGCGCTCATACGAAAGCAAGATCAGGCATCTTTCAAATTGAATTCGTCTAACTATACAAAGTCGTAACGTTTGAGAGAATAATATCGTAATTGATTCGCGATACTCTGGTAGCATTGGTCATAGGCATCATTTAATAGTATTGAGTTTACTTGTTACTCCTGTTAAAACGTCATTCATCGCCGTGGCTTCAAGGCAATTAAGCGATACTAAATATTTATGCTTACTCAGTTGTACGTGAATAGGTCCTTTTCCTTCCATACGCAAAATTAGTAATTGTCCATTCATTTCATAGCTTCCTTCAACTTTGGGAGAACATTGCAGTTTTATTAGTATCTTGGAGTTTGATTTGTCGTATCTAAAATAAATTATGATATAAGTGTAAGAAATAAAAGGTGGAACTCCTTGTCCCCTTCGGGGAATATGAAATGGTATTTCACAGGCGCACTTAGGTCACAAGGCACTTAAATAAAACTTATCAAGTGGAATTGTGTTGAAACGTCTGTCTGGGTATTTAAAAGAAAGCATTGAGAATTTAAGACCATTTTATGAATTTTTTCCATACTATGTGTCATAAATGACACGTCCAAAGCCGAACGCAGATGCCATCATTAAAAGTTGATCTTATTAAAAATTTTAAATTGATTATTCTGCTTACGTGTGATGCAGTAATACAAGATACCATAAACAAGCCTAGCAAACTTTAATTTTAATAAAATTTAGAATTTAACTGTTTTTCTTTTATATATTATTACGTTCCGCGTCGTTAATAAACCACACATTTGAATAATTACTGTTACAAAAAATAAATTGCTTTCCAGGTATTTTATAAGGCAGATATTCTATCCATAGGAATGTCATTCAAAGTATTCAACATTTTAATTAGGTAGATCTCAAACAAATAAATATTATAAAGATTCGAGGCCAATGTTTGTTTTAAACAAGTCAAAACTTATTAAAATATTCTAAGGTGAACTGCAAATAAAACATTGACCAGTTTCCGTGTTTAGTAACGTAATAGGAATAATTACTAGAAGCTATTAACTGACCTACATTAAACTAATTAGTAAACATCAATTGACACGGAATAAAAACGTGACAACTAACATAACTAACTAACATAAGTTCAATATAGTATCGGTCAAATATCTCTTTCAACTCGTAAATTAAAAGCATTATTTACCGTCACTTGGTTGTCATACATAAGTGCCTTCAGAAATGTGTGTTTGAGGTCTGTTTTAAAAATGTTGTATTACGTTTTGACACAAATATAATATAAAAGCATTATTTACAAGGGAACTAAGTAGAGGCCTGTCCATAAGGGAACTGAAATATTTTGACAATACTTAGATATTATTACAGATTTAGTTATTCAATAGTTTATGATTCTTAATTTTGGAAGCATTATTAAAATTAAACCATAATTAATTTCTTTATTCTTTTAGCAAAAATAATGTTGATGCCATGGTTTATATGATGGCAAAGTCCAAGGAATTCTGTCTTATTCATATAATCTAATATTATATTTTTTGGTTGTTACTTAAAAATCGGAGGAAGAGGTTATCAATTGGACGTGTATTTTTTTGTTCGCCAAAAAACATTATTTCTGTATTCCTGGAGTACATACGCATTTACACAATTGACTTTCTGTCTTTCAATGTGAAAAATAAATGCCTTTTTATTCGATTAAGTAAAGTCTACTTTGACTTTATTTGATACCAATTTTTTTGAAATCAATGAAATATATTTTACGTGCGTTATTATTATTTGTCAAAGCTCCGTGGATGTTATTGGATCTTTGATCATACGATTATGCGATGATGAAATAAAATGGGTTAAAGTTGAAACTGTCTTATGTTTGTGGTACAGGGAATCGAACCCAATACCAGACTTTTCTATGCCATATGGAAAATAACTTACTTAGTCTTCTTAACAATGCAGTCTTTCAGCCCAGTCACAGTATAATCAGTTAAAGTCAGCTTGAGGTTAGGTGAACTAGCATCAGTGTGTTTGATGACCAAAGGGTCCAATGACTTTATTTGTAACTCAGGGATTCCAGCTGCGAAGGTTTTTATCGCCGCCTGCGCCGATTCTTTGCTACATTTCGAGTCTCCGACCTTACATTTTGCTACCAATGGAACTGGAAATTAACAAAAGTGATCTTAGTTCGTAAATTCTTAGATGTTGTTCTTATGTAAATCTTTACTAATATTAAAAAGCTGAGGAGTTTAACTGAACGGAAGCAAAGCAGAACTTCTCCAATGAACGTGGGTGAAACCAAGACGGCCTAGTACGGTATATGTATATTTTTGTTTTAATTGTTTCATAATGTTAGATAGATATGTTTACCTTTATTTTTTTATTAACCGTGTAATTTCCGTTGTCAAAGATGTTTAAAAAAAACGGATAAATGTTTCGTTGTTTCTTCATTAAAATATTGGTCCAAGCAGAGCAATAATATACTTATAATAAATATTCTATGGGCATTTTATATTAAGCAGGTATTAATGGTTAATAAAAACATATGTATTTTAATAATAAACGGTAAATGTATGTGTTTTAAAAGAGGAGTGTAAAAATGAACTTAAAAATCTATAGCTGCTATAAAGAGAAAAATCTGACTAAGTTGTCTATGTAATTATCCAAAAATTATTTAAGTAATATTGATCTATAGTTTGGCATCATATTATTAAAATAAAATTTACCTTAATTGGTATTAATATTAACAATTGCGTAGTAATATAAAATTTATATATGAAATATTCATGACCGAGGTCAGGACAGAGGCAGAATTCTATCTGCTTACTTGCCTTGGAAACATACACTTTCTAGGTTATTCAAGAATTTAAAAAATAAAAATATATTAGTATCTATGACCGGAGTGCATATAACAATTATTAGAAATCATTTTTTATGTAAAAAAGGGTGCGTGTACTTATGTACGCGCGTAAAAGTTATACTTCTTTGGCATTATTAAAAATAGTTTTTGATTGCATGCAAATAATTAATTACAATTAAATAATCAAAGACTGGAAAAGGAGTCATTATAGTCAATAAAGTTCAGTTTACATTTGAAAAATTAAATAAATAAATATTTATTATTATTCTCTTACATTAAGTGTAACACAAATTCTATTATTATTCGAATGTTGTATTTAAATGATGTCCAATGCCGTAGCATCTTCCGTGGGCAACTTCATTCTGTTAATTTTGTGTCACGGTGCGCGCGCATCGTAAAATTTCACTCTCATCAATTTTTCATAACGTGCCTAAAGAAGTATAACTTCAAAAATATAATTTACTTTTAAATATCCGAAGTGGATTAAAATAAGTTTTAACATTACATAGGTTTATTTATTGAACAATTTATTAAATAATCACTCAGATTAAATATTATATAACGATCTTTACTCTACAAATGATGATCTGTCATTACAGAATATCCTGGGATAGTTTTTTTTAATTATTTAAATCGGTTCAATACTTTTTACTTTATTCGTTACAAATAATTCCTTTATATTAGCTTAGATTAAAAAAACTATAACGAGAATTGGAGTAAAAACAGTATTTGAGCTTGAATAAAATACAGAAGCCAATATCCAAGGCAACCGTGATTAGTGAGGTCAGGTTTCCTTGTCATACATACCTGGAAATAGGAGGTACAACAGTAAAAATTAAAAGTACCCACAACCGACGAGCCAAATGGTGAATCATGAAAGTGGATGAAGCGAGAGAAGTGGATCCGTAATGCCTGATGGTTTGAAAAGGCGTGATGAATAAATAAAAAATATAGAAATATTACCTCCATTAGTATAAGCAGCGAACGCAAGAATGACCACAAAGTATTTCAAATCAATCATATTTATCAAAAATGTAAATTAATTTTTACGCGCACAACTTTACCCGTTAACCAATAATGCTAAATGGCACATTGATCACGTCCTACTCGCCGTTTTATAAACAACCAGCATTTTACTCGTTATTTTTAACATATTAGCTGGCAAAAACTTATCAGGTATTTTCCATCCATCAACCATCGATTTTTGATTGATGGACTAAGAGCTCGTGAACTTTATTTTTTATAAATATTTATCATACAATCAGTCTTTGCGACTAAAAGTAGATACGTTGAGTGCTTCTTCACGTGTTAGGCGGTACTCCCAGGGAAGCCTGCCTATTCTTATTTAAACTCAGTCTGTTGGGTTGTCCTGGTCAAAAATGTCTCGCCGCTTTTTTAGTCGTCGAGTATTTTCTGGTATAGTTAGCTGTCCTGCTAGCTGATTGGGGTGCTTATGAAGTCTTAGTTTGTAGTTCTTTATATGAAGACCTCTTATATGAAGACTGAATACTATCGTTTACGTTTCTACATCTTCATTTAGTCCGAGATAGTTGAGTATAACAACATCGTATTAATCAGTAGTTTAGTCCATGTTTCATACTGAGACTTGACTTGACAAATTACGAAGAAATATGGGACAGTCTGATCTTTAAGACGTTTGCACTCATACCTGAAAATAAACATTTGTAGCTGTGTACTTTTTATTAATAATATATTTAGTTTGACAATATGACATCAGGTGTCACAATCTATAAATATATAATAAAATTGTTTACTATGCTTTTATCAATACCCAGGAAGTTTCACTTTGTATAATTTCTTAAATTCTTAAAACAGAAAGGGTTTTTTTTAACTATTTTAAAATATTTAATTTAGATACAATTGTGACTCCTAGACTTTGTTAAACGTTCAACAACAAAGATAATATCAACTGCGAACACTATGACCGTTGGTATAGGTTAAATTTAAAGTTATTTTTTGTTGGTACATGTTATTTTAGACACATTAAACTTCATAAGCATAATGTTAGTCGCTTGATTGAATATAGTTGTTTGGACTTTTTTGTATAATTCTAAGAAATAAACCGTCAGTAATCTTGCTATTTAGTAACGATTTTGATCTTGATTCCGATTTCAAAATGGTATTGAAAAAAAAACTTTTTAATTTTTAACTTAATTTCGACTTAGGAATAATATTAGTACCAATATTTTATCGTGAAATATTATAAACTAATTTAGAATAAAAACAAATTCATAATTATAAATGAGCTATGTTTTTGTAATAGTAAAATTTGTTATTATACTTAAAGCCAATTAGATTATTAACACCCTTTAACCCCAAAAAATAATAAATAGAGCATTAAAACAATTCTAATTAGAAATCAACTAACTTTAAGATAATTACATATATAATAAAACATGACTATTGTGTACAATACCATGTTTTTACTAATTGTACATAACCTGTCGAACTATTATAAAAATATTTTCGTAATGACGTGATAGCGACCGAATAATCTATAATCTTAGGAATATCTTTCAGCAATGTATTTAGTATAATATAAATAATGTTCTATACTAAATAACTTCAGAATATTACAGATGGTAATCGTGATGTTTGGCTTATTGAGTTAGTGTTTAGTTAATTAAACGTGTTTTTATGTTCGTAATACCATATAAAAATCACGTCAGTTAAGCAAACGTGTACGTGCGTAATTTTATCGAGCTGTGCGTAATTGATTCTTGCGGGCCGGGGTGTTCGTTCGACCAATGGTTTTTTCCATGTATTTATGCGATTGATACTTATACGATGAGGAGAAGGGTATGTTTAACAACCAAAAAATAAAGAATTATGGCCAATAATGTCAATGATCGAATCTTTTTAGTTAAGGCCCTATCCCAGCACGAATTGCCGTGTCAGTGTCTCGAGGTGGACTGCGGTGCGCAGTGGAGAGCTGCAGCACTGAGGCGCGCCGGTCCGTAATAACAATTAGTTATGTAAAACATTAAATTAATGTAATTTTATAATTCTTTTTTCTGATCTCAATATATATAAATTACGTGTCACGTTGTTTGTCCGCTATGGACTCCTAAACTACCGAACCGATATCAATCAATCAATTTGCACACCGTGTGCAGTTTGATCTAACTTAGAAGATAAGATATCTTACATCTCAATTTATACCCGCAATATTATTTTATTACAAATATTTGTTTATTATTTGATACAATTCTAACAGATGGCGCTATGTTGAAAGTACCAACGTTTTACATAAGCTATTACCTTTCACATTAGTTCTCCTACCGTGACCAAATAGGCCATCAAATGAGCCAATTTTTAAATAAGGAACAAAATATTATAAACAGCTGTTACCCAAATGCTACTTTTAAATATATTATAAAGAACATTGTAAGAGAGACTTCCAGTAAAGCGGATAATCTAATTATATTTATAGGCAATAGAGGGAATCTAAACAAAAAGGAGCTTATTAGCTGCTATGAAAAATTGTGCCTACTTAATACTAAAAATCTAATTATGTTTACATTCCCTTATAGTAAACACTTTAGTCAGCATGAAAATAATGCGAGACATATTTTAAATCAGACAATGCACACATTAACATTGTACAATAAAAACTTTACACTAATTGATACCAATAGGTACATTAGTTGTAATAATTATTTTTTGACAAAGGATAGATATAATCTACCTACATATTTTAAAAGACAGATAGCTGATTCGCTATCATATTTATTGTATATAACAGCCAAGAATTTGGCTAGACAACCTGCTTCTATTGAGCAGGTTTTAGTTAGTAAGACCTTGGAAGATATTCCAAGAAATAGTATATCTAATTTAAATTAGACACTAAGACAACAGAGAGTCTCTCTGGCCTAGAATTAGAAAGTAAGCTAAGTAAATTTAAGAACAATACTATCAATCTGGTTCACCAAAATATACAAGGCATGAAAAGTAAATTACTAGAAATTGAGTTGTTTTTGAGCAGTGAAAATGTTGACATACTGTGTATTACAGAACACTGGTTAAAGACATGTGAACTTATGTTCAATTTTTGTAATCATCAGATTGGTAGTTCGTTCTGCAGAGGAAATGCAATACACGGTGGCTCATTAATATTGCTTAGTAAAAAAATAAAATTTAAAGAAAGGAAGGACATAGTGAGCCTCTCTGTGGAACGCCTTATAGAAGTATCTTGTGTGGAGCTGGAGCAATTTATCATTGTTAGTTTGTATAGCCCTCCTTCAGCTCAATATGATAGTTTAGAAAAAATATTGGAGCAGGTTCTGTACAAATTGCAAAAATCCAAGAAAAAATTGATCGTTAGTGGAGACTTTAATGTAAATTTGCTTGACAACTGTAGTTCAAGTAAACGTTTGCTAAATCTGTTTAAATCATATAATTTAATTAATACTTTTATTGTACCAACTAGGGTAACAGCCACCACGGCAACATGTATTGACAATATCTATAGTAATATAGTTCCTCTCAACGCCTGTATTATCAACAAACTTACATCTGACCACTCTGGTCAATTGTTTGAATTTGAAATACTAAAATGTAAAGATCAAAAAAGAAAATATGCACAATTCCTATAACAGAGGATCGGTTAGACAGATTTAGGAAAAATTTGATATTTAAAATGCCATTTTTGCGTAGTAACCAATGCCCTAATAATTTATATAGCACATTCTTTGATTAATTTATTGGTGAATTCAAAAATGTGTTCAGTCCAAAGACTTTTTTGGTCTCGGAGAAACCAACCTTTTGTGACTGGGCAACTCCGGAGCTACACAAAAAAAGGCTAAAATTGTATGAGTTGTATGATGAAAAACAGTATAATGACAGTGAAGAATTTAAAACTTATGTTAGGATATTCTCAAAAAGTTTTAGGCAAGAGTGTAGAATCGCTAAGGCGAAACACTTAAGTCTTAGAATAAACAACAGCTCTGATAAGATAAAGGCTACTTGGAAAATTATAAACGAGGAGACTGGAAGAACCTCCAGAAAGGATACTGAATTTAAAGTGAATATAAACGGCAAAGTAATTAGTTCCGACCTCGAAGTAGCCTCTGCATTTGAAGAGTTTTTTACTAACATTCCTTTAAATACAACCAGCGTTTTAAATTCTTCACCATCAGCCGCCCTTTTATTATTGAAAAAGAATGTACCTGTATGCAATCATAAGTTTGTATTTAGCCGCATTAGCTGCAATGACATTATAAAAACATTTAAACAGCTAAAAATAAAAAAAACTAAAGATCTTTGGGGTGTATCTGTTTTCATTTTACAATCAGTAATCAATACTATCAGTTCAGAGTTGGCTATAATATTTAATGAATGTATAGATTGTGGAGTCTTTCCAGACCAGATGAAGATAAGTAAAATCACACCGTTATTCAAAACGGGCAGCACTTCGGACCCCACAAATTTTAGACCCATATCTGTGCTGCCGGCTTTGAGTAAAATCTTTGAAAAAATCATTCTTGAACAATTATTGATACATTTTAATAATAATAAAATTATGCATAGCCAGCAGTATGGTTTTACAAGAGGTCGCTCCACAGCAGATGCTGGCATTCAATTAATTTCCGAGATTTTAAATGCTTGGGAAAATTCTCATGATGCCATTGGAGTTTTTTTATGACTTATCAAAGGCTTTTGACTGTGTCCATCACAAAATCCTAATCAAGAAACTTCAACACTATGGCATTGGCGAAAAAGCGCTAAATCTTGTGGAATCATACCTGAGCGATAGAATTCAAAAGGTAAATGTAAATGGAGCTATATCGCAGGGATCCTCTGTTACTATGGGAGTACCGCAAGGCTCCATACTTGGTCCCTTCTTATTCCTCGTCTATATAAATGACCTGCCATTTCTTGTAAAGGAGCTTCACGAGATGGTACTGTTTGCTGATGACACTTCGCTTTTATTTAAAGTGAAACGACAAAATCCATCACTTGATAACGTAAACAGTGCCATCTCCAGTGTAGTTCACTGGT